AAACGAGATTTAAAAGCGAAAAAAAACTCTAAAATTACCTGACCCTCTGTCCACCGGAACGTAAAAGAAGACACGAAAAATTAATGTCCGAGGAGTGGAGTAAAAAAAGCAATTTTCCATCTTCCGCCAAAGGAACAGGGACCACCGGTCATTTCCCACAGGGCAGGAGGTCCGCTTTCTCTCTCTTTTCCTTTTTTTTCCACGCGGATTCAACAAATTTTCCCTAAATAATTGAGAGTTACGAGGTAGGTGCGCGTGATGGTAAACGTACCTTCTTGCTAGACCCCTGGCTTTTCCCAGGCCTTTGTTTTTCCTTCCGGTGGATACTTTCTGCATCCTGAAAAAGGGTTTTTAGGGTTTTTTTTGCAAAGTCGTTCCGTTCGTGTGTCACTTTTCATTCGGGACGGACATGTTTTTGGAGGGAAATTAGAGGGAAATTCTGTTGACATGAGGAAGAATTGATCATTAATATTTGGTGTATCAGGTGTTATATATCACATACCAGACCTGATATAAGATATATCAGTCGTAAATATACGATATAATGGGCCCGATATATGATATATCATTATAATGTACACTATATCAGGCGTTACATACGATATAATTGACCTGACGGGTTTTTAGGGTTTTTTTTTTGCAAAGTCGTTCCGTTCGTGTGTCACTTTTCATTCGGGACGGACATGTTTTTGGAGGGAAATTAGAGGGAAATTCTGTTGACATGAGGAAGAATTGATCATTAATATTTGGTGTATCAGGTGTTATATATCACATACCAGACCTGATATAAGATATATCAGTCGTAAATATACGATATAATGGGCCCGATATATGATATATCATTATAATGTACACTATATCAGGCGTTACATACGATATAATTGACCTGATATATCAGATATAATGCACAATATATCACTCACAAGAAAATGACACTGATATCACGTCGAGACTAAAAAAAATGATCGCCAAAAAATGTAAAAAGGAAAATAAAAAGGGAGGCACTTGAACACGAGACGAGGGGCTGTAAAAAAGTCAGGGGTGAAAGGCGTTTAGCACATTGTCGCGACCACAATGGCAATTTGCGTGATGTATCTCGCCATTATCCGAGCGACGCTTTCAAATGTAGCGGAATTAACTCGTCCCAATGTGTCAGAAAAAGCCCTATAACCAGATGCAGCCACGCTCTCCGCAATTCTTTTCTTTTTATTCCATATATTTGTTTCTTCTCGAATTTATTTCTCTACGGTGGCGCACGCAGCATCGCACACATACTGTCGTTGAAAAACGACTCTGGCCTGCGATAATAACCTGGCACGCGGCAATGCCAAAGATACCGTAGTAAAAGTATTTCTCTTCTCTTCTTTTTTTTTCCTCCTCTTCGGGCGAGGGGTACAAAAGTGGCAATAAATATATCCAGAGGCGACAAAATATCCTGAGATATATAAGAAAAGGTTCCGGAGTTTGGGCTGCGGGATTTGACGGACGACACCCCCAGGAGTTGTAAGTCATGGCGCATGCTAACGCCGACCCTTTCGCCTCTTTTTATATATATTTTTTTGAATGAGACTCCAGCGACGGAATAATATCACCGATTGCTTGACCCGTCTACCGTAAAATTAGGGGTGGATAAAAGGGATATATGGCCTTGCGCCAACTGATTAATCATTTCTCATTACTAGATGCTGAAGTCTATCTCATGGTTTTTGTGAGAATAAATAAAAGGCGCATTGATCGGCATGGAAAAAATTCTACCACTCATTAAATCAAAATTATCATCAGATAAATAATCTGATTCATGCCGCCATTAAATGGTACACCCTTTATTCCATCGATTACCCAGTTCAAGTGGAATCCACTTTGGCGAGAGAAGAAAAAAGGTCAAGAATAAAAAAAGGAGCGAAGAAATTATTTGAATCGGATTTAAAGGCTCTCAATGCAATGGCTGGGCATTGCCGCGTGTTCGATCGCATTCAGGGTGTGGTGTACTACCACTATTGGGCGCACCTAAATCTCTCGTAGCTCATTAATGGCTCGTTCGGATTCAACCCCCTCTCCCCACCCCCCCACCCCCTCTAACCCGCACTCTTGTTTCCATGCATGCCACCCGGAGCTTTATACTTGAGGTTTAATTCGTCGGCCCAGGCCGCTTCTATTAATTTGCCACGATGAACGAGCAATGTGAATTTCGGGGGCATTTCCACATGTGCACTCTAGTCTGTGGATTTGTGATTCGAATTAACAGGAAAGGATAAAATGTGACCAGGGAGTCTATTCTCGAGTTGAAATCGTGCGTTCGATTTCGGCAGATCGCATGCGACCCATAAGGCGTGCCATGAGTCGCATACGACTTGTCGAATTCGATCGTACGATTTCAATTCGAGAATAGGCTCCCAGGATGTACACAATGGAAATCGATATAATTTTCACAGACAATTTTGGTATTATTTCAATATATCGGACACGATATATGATATATCAGGCATGATTTGCGATATATCGGACGTCATATATGATATAATGGACTTGATATATCATATGCCCGGCCTGATATACGATATATCAGGTAAAAGGCGCGATATATCGATCACTAAATATCTTCTTGAGACAAACAAATGTTTGTTGAGATGATATATAATTTTTTTCTCCCGATAATTATGATTCTCAGTGAATTTATTCAATCAGGGTTTATACATCATATATCAGGCATCATATATTTGATATAATGAACTTGATATATCATATATCAGGCTTGATATATCCCTTTCAACCTGAAACTAGTGAAAGATTCGAGTCGGGCGAATCTCGTCGTGTACAAATATATTACCGAATATATTAAGATATATTGGGACATACTGCATATGTAATTTAAACAGCCATAACCTTGTTTGTACATACATACGTGAAAAGATGTACACCAAGATGTACACAATGGAAATCGATATCATTTTCACAGACAATTTTGGTATTATTTCAGTATATATCAGACATGATATACGATATATCAGGTGCGGTATATTATACAATGGGACTGATATATGATATATCAAGTAAAAGGCGCGATATATCGGTCACTATACATCTCCTTGAGTCAAACAAATGTTTGTTGACATGATATATAATTTTTTTCTTTCGATAATTATAATTCTCAGTGAATTGATTGGATCAGGGTTTATACATCATATATCAGGCATCATATATTTGATATAATGAACTTGATATATCATATATCAGGCTTGATATATCCCTTTCAACCTGAAACTAGTGGAAGATTCGAGATGGACGAATCTCGTCGTGTACATATATATTAACGAATATATCAAGATATATTGAGACATACTGCATATGTTGGAACCCATAAATGATGATTGGTCCCTCGCGACCAAAAAAAACGTTGAAAAATATTTTAAAAAATAACAAAGTCATCAAAAACTCGGTAATAAAATTTAAACAGCCATAACCTTGTTTGTACATACATACGTGAAAAGTTGAATTAATGAGCCGTGTGAAATCCCCGCGGTAGGGTACATAAGAAATATAATGTTCGCGTTGAGCAGAGGACTCAGGTTGAAAAAATAAAAATTACAAAAAAAATTCGACCTGTAGTACACCTGTGCATCATTCACGGCAGTGTGACGACGTAGGTATTACGCGACACAGGATAATAAAACACAGCGCCGTTGAGAGACCCAAGCGTATAACCAGTAATAAATGTTTGGTTGGTCATAAAGTCGTTATTACCTTCTGGGAGGCGAGATAAAAAATACGGGGCGGGGGGGGGGAGTGGGGACGAAAGTTTGTGGTATGTTGAGTAATGCAGGAGGATCCACTCATACAAAATTCGAAAATCATTGGGGGGGGGGGGGGGGNCGAATGAAAATTTGATTTTTTTTTTCGTCCTGAGGGCAAATAAAAGTCGGCACGTGATGTTACAATATCATCGGTATAAAGACACATGGCCTACGGTAGACTTGCTTCATTTGTCTTTATATTAGCGATGGTACGCACCCCCCTAACGCCACATAATAAACCCCCAAACGCTCAGCGGGATGGCGAAAGCCAAAGCAACTCGCCAGAATTTCCCCCTTCGCCCTTTTTTTTTTTTCATGAAACGCAAGGTTACAGAATCTTCCTGTTACCCCGCCATATTTCAGACTGAAAAAAAATGAGGATAAAAAATAGGGAAAGAGTGAAACGATCGAAATATGTAAAGCGATAATAAATGAAACAGCCGTACGAACGTATCCCCAAGGGGTTAATTTCGATTCAGGGAGGGTTGGTGAGGCATTCACGGTTCCTTAAAATCCGTTTTCTCTCTGGGGTCGAGTTACGTTGAGGAGAGGAGCGAGAGAAAGAGTGAAAAAAAAAACGGTCACCCAGCCAATGCCACTTCTAACCGGGAAAGCCCGGAGCTTTCATAATTTTCGACGAGCACAATTTTTCAGAACAGCGGACGAGGAGGAATATATATCTGGTCATTTCCAGGTATTAAGTACTTGTTCCAAGCTCGTGTTGCAAGGACGAAGCACTTGGAACGAGTACTTCACACTTGAAAAGCACAAAAAGTATGGGGAGTACTTTTTCCCAAGTATAAAGTACTTTCAAAAGTGCACTGGTACTTCGTAAAGTACAAACGTACTTTATAAAGTACATGGGCACATTTTTAAGTGAAAATGTATTTTTAAAGTACCATTTTCAAACTCAACAGTACCTTTTTCAGCGATACAAGTACTTTTCAAGTACAAGAGTAGTTTTTTAAGCACCAAAGTACTTTCGAAGTACTTTCAAGTACTTTAAAAAGTGTACTGGTACTTTGTAAAGTACAGAGATATTTTTTCAAGTATCAAAGTAAAATTTTCAAGCTCAAAAGTACCTTTTGAAGTATGAAAGTACTTTATAAAGTACAAGGATACTTCAGTACTTGGAATCCTTTTAAAACCAATCTCTTTCAAGTCTAAATCCCATAAAAATACAACAATAATTTCATAATATTCTTCCAGTCAATCAGATGCACTGTAAATGGCTGCACCTGTGACTCCTTCACCCCTGGCAAACGTCATCTCCGCTACTGCGACAAGTGTCATCACGGCTGGGTCCTTCACGGTGAGTAATACTTTCATTTCTCTCATAAATAAAAGAAAACTAATTTCACCGTTTACAATTGAAAATACAAAAGTATAACCCTCATAAAAAAATCGAAATGTCAGCATAGCTCAACCACCCGTTCCTCAGGGACAAAATTCAATTTTCCATGGATGACCAGTGACCATCCTACCACTCTCACACACCCCCTCCGGGGGTATAAGACCACCAACTTTATGCGCCCATAAGTTTTAGAATATATCGGGAAGAGCCCAGAGGTGTATATCGAAATACAAGTCCGAGCGCTATATCGAGACAGTACCCAATGTTTTGTACCCTTTACTCTTTCCCTCCTCCCTCCCC